GGAGTGAGGACTGAAGGCTAGGCCAAAAGTAGGACTTGGGTCGGCTCCGTGCACAGGAGCCACCGTCATTTCTGGCTGGGTCTGTGCCCACATGGTAACAGCTGCTGTATAGCCGCCCATATAGAGCCATAGGAAGACCCCTCTCCCTTCCTATCCCCGCTACAATCTTTCCCCCACATGCTTGGTGTGGTGCCTGAGATCCCACCAGATGGCACGCTTTGGGAGAGGTTCCTATTATAGATGTGCATAGTTCAGGGAGGGGTCACATCTCAAACCATAGCCAGTTACCCTGAGGAACACAGGAGGGTAAGTTTTGATGGAGGAATGGAAGGGATGGAGGAGGGCATTCCAGGAGTGTGACAGAGGAAGAGGGAGGGGGAATGGGGTGAACACTGTTGGGGGAACTCCATGAGGCTGCCTCAAGCTAGAACTTTAGAACGCTGCTACCCCATAGCCCAGGGTCACCCATCCCTCTTGCTGAGCCAATGAGGAATGGCTGCCTTTAAGGCGGAGATGACGGGAGCTGTCCAGGGTCACTGAAGAGTCAGGGACAGAGCTGGGACCCACTCCAGGTTTAGCAGGTTCACCCAGGTTTGGACCCATGGCCCACCCTGTGAGACGCACACGCCTCCAGCCTGTCCCTGCTCTTCCTAGGACCTCTTGGAGCCCTTATCTGCATCTCTCTTCTCCCAGTGGCAGGAGCAGAGCTGCTGGCCCCCAGGACCCCATTCCTGGTTTGTAGATCTGGCAGTTGGGTCAGGGAGGGGCTTCAGCCCGGAGTTTGCAGTGGGCAGAGGAAGCAGGCCCAGGGGCTCAGCCTACAGGGAGTGAGGGGCAAAAGCCCCTTCTCTAGGAAAAAAGATTCCAAAACCCCCAAACCACTTGAGGTCCCAGGGCTGACTCCAGTGCCATGGAATCAGGGGACCCCCTTGGGCCATCGCCCCTGATTCCCTCACTTACCTGGGACTCCCTGTGACTCCAGCAGCTGCCCAGGTGGCTTCGTCCTTGCTGTGGCTGGTGCTGGCTCTGGACTCTGTTGTCAGCAAGGGAGGTACCAGGTGTGGGCAGCACCAACTGCCTCTGTCCTGCAGGAGGGGCAGTTAGGGTCAGGTCAGTTCTCTCTTTTCCTTGGGGAGGAGGATGGACAAAGGCACCCAGCTTTTGGTGCCTGGGGCTGTGGAGGCCCTGGCCACTACCCTTCTCCTCCTGCTCAGGCTCCAGGTTCCCAGGGGGTGGGAGGAGGCACCAGAATCTACAGGGGGGAGATTAAAAGTTGCATAAAAAGAGCCTAAGGCTGGGAGTCGGGAGACCCGGGTTGGGCCTGGCTATGCCCCACAGGCTGGTGTCTTCTCCTTTGGGTCTCAGTTTTCTTATCTGTGAAATGATGGGGTTAATTAAGATCAGTGGTTTCTCAGCAACCGTCCTGGAGCCTGTGATGCTGACCAGCATGCTCAGCTGGGCTATTTCCATCCCAGAGAAGACTTCTTGACTCTGACTCCTTTGATCTTTCCTCCTCTCTGAGGAGCTGCTGTCCCGAATCTGAGGGCACCCCACACTCCTGCTCACCTTCTTAGACGTTGGGGTCCTTCTCCTCTGAGCACCTCCCTCTTCAGCCCTGCCCCTGCCCCCTCCCAGCTGGCTGCTGTGCCCCCTTTCCTTGCCTGGGCAGGCGCCCTCTCTGCTGGCCATTCTCCCTCCCTTGTGTGCTGATGGGGAACCAGGACACCTGGCTTCTGGTCTCAGCTCTGCCATGTGCTGTATGACCTCAAGATAGAAACCAACCCTCTCTGGGCCTCAGGATTGGGCTGGAGGATCCCTTGGCCTCCTCCAAGCATTCAGACTCAGTCACATCCAGGCTCACAGTTTTGGGGAGCTCACCAGAATCTGGGCTTTGTGCCTCTGGCTCCAGCTTCTTGAAAGGCCCTCCCTTGTCATGACATCAGAATGGGAAGCCTCTGAGTCTCTGTTGCAAAGTGTCGACTCTTCCCTCCTTCATCTAATTCCTACAGTGAGTGGGGGGATATTTTGTAATAGTCAGAAATATGATAGAATTCTCAAAATTTTGACAGAAGGTAGAAGACGATTCTATTCTGTATCCAGGGTGAAAAAACCCCACATAATTTCATCCAGATAAAAAGGAAAAACAAGGACTTGCAACTATGATATACAACCATGCACTGCGGCTTTGGAGAGGAAAAAAAGAAGAGGATTGGCAACAGATGTTAGCTCAGGGCGAATCTTTCCCTGCAAAAAAATTTTAAAAAAAGGACAATGAGCACGTTTCAGAATAAAAGTCTTTCTCCTCCTTCTCCCGCTATTTTTTTGGAGGCTGTGCCTCCTAACTGCATCTTTCTTTCTTTTTCTCTCTCTCTGTTTCTTCTCACCTTCCCATCACCCCTTCTTCCCTTATGTGGTTCAGGATTCCCAAGGAGACTGGATAGAATCATGGGTGTCCCAGAGTGGGGAGAAATAACCATGCCCTGTAGGCATTGATAATTCAGCACCTTGGCCAGCACTCCATCCCTTCTCCCAACCGGACCCCTCTCCTAGACCCCTAAATGTGACATGGCTCATTGCAACTGACCTCCTGGTGGAGCTTTTGGGGATGGTTAACAGAGCTGGGACCCAGGCAGGAGGGGAGGAAGCTGGGAATGCTGCCCAGGTGTGAGCAGTCAGCCTCCAGGGATGACCTCCCTGGTGGGAGAGAAGGCCTGCCCCCACAACCCCTGAGCTGAGCTCTCTGCTGCCAAGAAACATTACGTCTGTTGTTTTCTGTTCTTGCTGCCACCCCAGAGAGAAAAGTCCAGAGCTAATGGCCTTATCAGGTGCTGAGCAGGTCCCTGGGGCCAACATTAGACTTATAGAATCCTAGACCGTCAGAGCCAGGGCCTTGGCAATCAGTTAACTAGATCCCTAGCCCCCCCTCAATAAAGATGGGGAAACTGAGCCCCAGGGAGAGAGATGGACCCGCTCAGGGTCTCATAGTGCCTTCTTCCACCCCTGACCCTGGGAGACACACGAGGCTTGGCTCGCAGTGGAGGCTTGACTCACCATTGCACGGTTCCACAACGGTGTGGAGCCTGAGTTAAGCTCCCACTTTGAATCCCAGGAGGATCGACATTCTGGTGGCTGCTGCCTGTCACTGAAGCAGCCCTCACAGTCGAGAAGCATTTCTAGGGGGGTCCAGTGAAGAGTTCGGCTTTAGCTTTGGGTTGGCCTGGGTCTGACTTCCAGCTCTCCTGAGTACTGCCTGCGGGTCCCCTGGGAAGTAATGTTCCTCCACTCAGACACTGAGATAATGATACCAACCTCATGGGCTTGTCTCAATGTTCGATAAGGTACAAAAAAGTACCAGCCCTTTGCCTGCTGACCGCACACAGGGGTCTGAATGGTGTTACTGCTGTTCTAGCAATTCTCTCACGCCTGGGGTAAGATCTTTGCTGATCCCTCCTTCCTTCCCAAGGCTCGGCTGCCTTTGCCTCCTCTCTTCACTTACCCGTGTTAAATGTGGGGTTCCTGTGGGCATCAGCCTGACAACCCCAGATTCTTCCATTCAGGAATTCTCTGGACACTTCATGCCTCTTGGAGGTGGCCTGATGTCCCAGAGCCCTCTGTTGGGTATGCAACTTAGGCCCCCATGGTTACTCCCAGACACTTGGAAACTGGGAGTGAAGTCCAGGAAGTGGCCAGCGTTTCTCAAACCTGGAGGCTGAGTGGGGGAAGGGGCAGGAAGCACCATGGAGGGGGTGCTTCTCCCCCAGAGGACAGAGGCACTGAGAAAAGAGGGAGGGCCGTGGCTTTGGGGCAGCCACAGGGATCCGACAGCACAGGGAAGGGTGGTGGGGGGGGGGGCTTGGGGACACTCAGGTTTCAGAATCACCCCCTAACTTCTCTGTAAACTGAGGGGCTGTCCATCAGCCAATCAGAGACCTTTTCCTCTGCCCCTGCCAACAGCCCCTCCCAATCCTTGTTCATGTGCCTCTTCTTAGAACCCCAACAAGTCAACGACTGGAGTGGTTCCTTCTCTCCTCTCCCCACTTCCAGGGATAGACGAAGATCCACCTGGTGCCTCAGAGAGCGTCCAGTCTACCCTCCCTTACTCTGCAGGTGAGGAGATGGAGGAAAAGTCCCTCAGGGCATGAAATGGGTCAGCACCGTGAGACTACGCCCAGCCCTCCTGTTTCCCAGGCTGCTGTGCTGCTCAGCTGCAGGGCGCCCCAGTGGCCCTTCCCCTTGCAGTGTGCACAGCCTGTGCGTCCACATGCAGGGCCCTGCCTGACTCCTGGCCAGGCTGCTTCTCCATCAGTCAGAGGTGGGATGGACCTCCTTCTACACAGCAGACCTGACCTTCCTGGCCTAGGTGGTGCAGGCTCCACACAAGGCAAAGGAAGAAGATGGAATTCTTAGCCTCAGAGCTGGCCCAGAGGTTCAGAAAACTCATATAGTGCCAGTGTCCAGCAGGCAGCTGGAATAAGAGGCGGGGCCTCCTCAAGTGCACTCCACTTTGCAGCTTACCAATATATTATGTGAGATTGGTGCTATTATCCCCATTGTCCATGTGGGAAAACGGAGGCCCAGAGAGTTTAAGTAATTTCTCTAAAGTCACACAGTGAGAGTGCCTGGATTCAGGCCCACGTCTGCGGGATTTCAGAGAGCAGGCCCTTCCACTGTCTCATGAGCTCCCCTCTGCTCCCAAGGCTAGCATCACCCCCTCCTCCAGGCAGAGACATTCTTCCCTGGCTAGTAAGTTGTGATGTGACTGCTGGCTTTAGAACTCAGTTCTAACCCAAGCTCTAGCACTTACCAGGGTGGGACATGGGACTGTAGGCAAGTCATGTCCTCTCTCTGAACCTCACTTTTCCACCTCTGTAAAATGGGCATATTACTATACGCCCAGTAGGGCTGCTTTGTGGATTAGCCATGCTAATGCATGTACACTGCCTGGGACGGAAGAGGGGGGCCTTTTTCTTCATTGAAATGAATGGAACTGACCACTGACATCCTGTAACTTTAATTTAATACAAATTCATCATAACTCACAAAATGGGCAACATTTAAAATAAAAATACTGCTGGGGGTGGCCCAGATTCTGGGAGATGAAGAGGCAGGGGGAGACTGAGGCTTCCTCCTACCCAAAGGAGGCCCCAGTGAGCAGCTGCTGTGAGGTGGGAGTCCCCCAAGACGAGCTGGTCTGGCTCCTTTGGGGTAGTTGTGGTCAGAGACCTGACCCACGTTCAGAATCTAGGCCCCAGGTCTAGAAAGAAGAGCCAGGCCAGAGAACATTTCAGCTCAGTCCTGCAGGCCCACCCCTCGGGCTCCCAGCCCTGGGCGGGGACACAGCCACAGAGCGGGACCCCTGGAGGCTCTGCTGCTTCAGAGCCAAGGCCTGGAGGTGGCCTCCTGGGCCAAAGCCATAGATGGGCTTGTTCAACATCCATTCTGACTTCCTTCTAGTGGGCCTTTTGTGTGGCTGAGGCTGGACAGAAGAAAACTACATTTCCCAGACTCCCCTGCAGCCGAGGTTCTGGATCTAAGTTTCTCCAAACAGAATCCCTCATAGAGATTTGGATTGGGAACTGAACTGAGTGGGAGAGAGGTAGGCCTCAGGACACCCATTGGCTGGCATAGGCAGTAGCACAGGGAGCCCAGTTCTGCAGTCAGCAGCTTCCGGATGCCGTGGCTTCCTGAGGTGGGAGCAGAGTTCCTGGTGGCTAGGAGTTTTTGTTCCTGGAAATTCAGCAAAGAGTCTGCTCCTCCTGCCCTTCCAGTGAATTTGCGAAGCCATCAGGGACCTGGTAATAAATCCTGTCTAATTAAACTAGCTAAAGCCGCTCTTTTCTGCAACAGGATCTTAACTGAGAAAGATGCCAAGATTGCTGAGACGTCTCAGCCAACAGCCCGTCCCAGGGCTCAGGTCCTGACTAAAACAATTGCTCTCCGCCCCCTCCTGCACCCTAGCCTGGTCACAGGGGCCTGGCTGGACCCTTATCCAAGCTGCTAGGGACCTCCATCATCCAGCGATGTTTGTCCTACAGTGGCAGGCTACTAGGCTACTAGGCTACTAGGCTCTGCATCAGCCTCAGGGTGTGCCTTTGTCCTGCCTTTAGACCTGTGGGCAGGAAAGTGGTGGCAGTGACTGTAACATGTGGGCTCAACTACTGGGTGCCTTCCAGAGGCCACAGCATCATCTCTCTCTCCCCGCAGGTAAGTGGGGAAAGCAGGAACCATAAAGCTCTTGGTCCAGAGGTGGAAGGAGAGGGTGGTCCTCAGGCAACCCGAGGACCAGCTACAGCCTGTGTCCACTGTGGGCTGGGGTCAAGGGCAAAATGGCCCATCCCTAGCTTGCTCAGGCGCAAGTCTTAGGCCTGGGAGCATAAGAGGGTTCTGTGTATATTTCAGGCTGCCAACTGCTGGCGACACTGACACATCCTGAGGTCAGGGCAAGTGGGAGGGCAGGAGGGAGAGGTGGGGAGGCAGTCCCCTGCCCCTGAGAGGATGGGGATGAGGGTTGGGCAGGGGCTGTCCTGAGGATGTCACATCCTCAGACCAAAGCTACACCCCCTCAAGGTCACAGCTACAGAACATCAATGCTGGGAGAGAGTCTGGGAATCGTGGGGCACGACCTCCATTTTACAGACGAGGCTGAAGGGTAAACATCTGGCCTGAGATCTCAGGGTGGCCAAGCTGGGCCGGAGTCCAGGCCTCCCGTCTCTTGGCGGGGCTCTTGCTGGCGGCCATGGCCCAGGGCCTGCAGTCTCCCTCTACTGCACTAGATTCGCACAGTGTTGATCCGCAACGGCTGCACGTTCTTGCCGTTGGCGTGGCTCTGCCCGGGGCTGAAGTAGGAGCAGAGCTTGCCGGGGAACTTCTCCCGGAAGGTGTAGAGCCAGGACATGTCGTCAGCATTGTAGAAGATAAGCAGCCCTTGGTCGTAGTCCAGGAAGACGCCCACCTTGTCAAGCTTGTCGCGGACGTTGAGCCGCGTCCAGGGCTCGGTGCAGGCGCTGTACTGGTTGCCATCGTGCATGACGATGCAGTAGAAGCCGCGGCTGGGCTGGATCTGGATGCTGCCCTTACGGCTTGCGGCCTCGTGTGCCAGCCCAATCACCCACTGGGTCTTCTCCGCCACCACCACCTCCCAGTAGTGCACGCCGCCACTGAAGGCCTCGGAGCCCAGCACCGACACCTCCACGTCGAATCGCTTCGGCGAGTCCTGCAGCGGCTGTGGGTGCAAGTTGCCGTAGGCCACAATGGTGCAGTCGTCGGACAGGATCAGGCGCTGGTGGGCGGTGCCCGGGTCCAGGGTCAGGGCAGCTGGCACTGTGGGGGGTGGAGGAGGGAGAGAAGATGAGTGGAGAGAAGACAATGGATCTCCTGAGGGCTGGGTTCTGGTCGGTCCCCAGGAGGCTGTGTGATGCTGAATACAAGCCTGCTCTTTCTGGGCCTCAGCTCCCTTCTCTGTAAAATGAAAGGGTGATGGCTAAGGTCCTTCCTGATTTACACTGGGATGCAGGGGAGCAGGAGGCACAGCTGTTCACTGCTGATGCCCAGGGCAAGGCACTCTGTGGGCACTCCACAAAACTTTGTTGAATAAACCAGAATGAGGTCCAGAATTAGAGAATTTCAGAGTTGGGAGAGAGCCTAAAGATTATCCAGGTGCTGGACAATCACCCTAGGGGGCGATCTGGAAATCTGTGGGGGTATTTGGTTGTCTCAGTAGATAGGAAGCTAAACGCCCTGAACAAAATGCAAAGGGCAGTCCCATGCCCCCCATCCCCAAAGATTTTCAAATGTTGCACCAGACATTCATGTGGATGAAAAGCCTTTTTTATAATGATCTGAAACTATAGCTTAACTCCATTTTATGTATAAACATGCCATGATGTTTGCACAGGGTTTTTTTTTTTTTTTTTTTTTTTGGTGAGGAAGATTAGCCCTGAGCTAACATCTGTGCCAATCTTCCTCTATTTTATATGTGGGACACCTCCACAGCATGGTTTGATGAGCAGTGTGTAGGTCTGCACCCGGGATCAAACCTGCAAACCCCAGGCCGCTGAAGCCGAGCATGTGAACTTAACCACTAAGCCAGTGGGCTGGCCCGATTTTTGTAGTTTTAATATATACTGGATATTTTGGAACACAACGACCATGGAAACTGAGGGATGACTGAATTTGTTTTGTTTGGAACTTCACTGAGAATTATTCACTGTTTCGGAAACTACATCTCCAATAACAATGCCACTGACTGATCTAACCTCACGGTTTCAGACCGCATTTGAGGCAGAATGGGGTTTACCTGTGGCGTGAGGACCTGGCTGTTCTTTGCATTTTCCAGTGTGGTTGTGAGCGAGCATCTACATACTGACATACACAATATTTTGTTATAAATAATTTCCTTCATATTATAGTCAGAGTATGTATACATATGTACATATACACACACATACACTTGAAATTGTGAAAAGTTTGCATTATGTTTGAGACAGCACAAATTATCTGTTATGAAAAGTAGACGATGGGTCTGAAAAAGTTGGAAACCACTGATTCTAGGCCATCTCTCCCATTTGACAGATGGGGAAACTGAGACTCAGAGAGGCAACATAACTAGTCTTAGGTCACCCAGCAAACATTAGTAGAGCCAGGACTGAACAAGGCCATGTGCAATCCAGCTCAGCCCTCTCTTCCAGCACCCCCCCCCTCACTCTCCAGCCCCCACCCCATGCAGGCCCAAACCTTGGCTCCAACTGTTCCCCCCACCACCTCCTCTCCGCTTGCTGTATCCCCCCCACGAGGCTCAACTCAGGGCTCACCCTCTGGAGAGCCTTCCTGGTTGCCCAGAGGGTGGACTCTCTCTTTCCTCCGAGACTCCTCAGCTTTGTCTGTGCCCTCTCCCCCATATGTCTGTGCCCACATCTTACCAGGGGGGCAAAGACTGTGTACGATCCAACTAGGCTCTCCCTGTGTGCCCAGCGCAGGGCCTGGCACGGGGAAGGTGCCCATAGTTCTCACTGAATTAAACCGAGCCAGCTTGTTGCTCCTTGGGCGAGCAGCACAGGCTGGCCCACCTGTCTCTGGTGTGGCCGCACTGGCTCAGCAGGTCTGGCCGTCAAAGTCTCATGAACTCTTGTCAAGGCCTCTGTTTACTTTTCCTCCCTAAGGACGCTGATGCCCAGACAGAAGACAGGGGAACCTGGAATTGGCCCTCCCGAGCCTGGACGACCACTCCCAGGCCAGAGCAAGACAGAGGGGAAGAAAGGTGGGAAGAAGAAATCCTGTCACTAGTTCCTCAGAGCGAAGAAAGGACTCTGGTGCTTTTCTTATCTGGTGGCGCAGGGACACGATTACACTTGGCTGGAGCATTGTCCCCTGCTTCCATCACCTCTGTTGGCTGCATACATGCACAGAAATAAAATCAGTGATGGTGACTGTCCCCAACAGACAGCAACAGCCAGTTCCTGAACTGTGCTTCTGTTCATACATCCGCGAACAAAGCTGACCGTTGACACGCCAAGCTCCTTCCATGAGCTCTGTCAGAAGCAAATTGATTTTGCATTTTACACTCTTCTTTCCTGTTCTCAGAACTCAGAGGGCTGTATGGAAACAATTAGCCCTGTGAATAGAGGGGTCAATGGAAACACAATTCTCTACCCAGGGACACTGGAGAGGGGGAGCCATGAGAGGGAAGACACTGAATCAGGGGGTGACCGTTTCACCCTGTCATCTGACTCGTCCAGTGCAGCCTGTCAGAACCAGAAGGCTCCTGCCATTTGGAATGTGGGAATGCCCACAGTGGGGTCAGGAGGTAAGAGGCGGTGTGGGTGTAGGAAGTGTGTGTGCATGCGTGTGTGTGTGTGTCTAGAGGGGGAGCTAGGGAGAGAATAAGAATCTAATCAGACACAGATGGGGCCCCTCCTACCGGCCGTGGAATGTGGGTCATACTCAGGCGTCTATAGCAGAGGGGCAGAGCAGGCACGATGCCAAGGTGCGGGCACAACACTTCTGAGTGCCACGCGGGAACCTGGGCCTTATATCTGAGGTACCCAGGAGCATCTGAGGAGACCAGCCACAGGCGGGAACTGCGGCTCAGGGCAGAAGGACAGGGAGGAGACGAGCACGAGGGCAGGAGGGCTCAGCCCCACACTCTTAAGCCTGTAGGGCAACGTGGGCCACTCCGGGTGCCACTGATGAGTGGGGATGGCGTGCTAGGAGGCAGCCAAGTGGGCTCTCAGTGGTTCTGAGACTGGGCCGGCAGAGATGCGCCTGGAGGACCACACTGACTGCCAGCTCTGGGTGTGGACCCTTAGCGCTTAAAGCCCAGGAGACCGGATAAGGGCAGGGCCTGCCACTCATTGGGTGGGTTTAGGGGTGGGGCCTGCCGCTCATTGGTCAGTGCTGATCATGGAGGCGGGGCCAGGGGCGGGGCCTGATCCACAGGGGGTGCAGGGCCCAACCTCCGGGGGGCGGGGCCTACTTTCCTGTTAGGCAGAGGGCGTGGCCTGACTCAGGAGGCTTTTACACACCAGAGGGTGGGCTGGGGTCCACCTCCAGGACTTCCCACCTCATCAGAAACAGAGGTCCTGTCTTCCAGACTCCCTCTTGCTGACCCCGAGGCTAGGGCATCAGTAGTAACAGCTGTCAGACCAGAGAGAGACCCAGACCCGGGCATGGCAACACTTTTTCTGTCTTGGAAGTCAGCGCTTGTGTAGGGACTGGCAATCCCTCCACCCATCTTTTATCCTCAGGAGAGGTGACCAGCACAGTGAAACAGATCCAGTCCCCTGGGGGTCACTATTTTACAGGTCCGAGATCTTTTCTAGGTCCCAAGACACTGTTTTATAAAAACAAAAAGCAGGCACTGAGGCAGCCTGTCTGGTCTCCAGGTGTGTTCTCCATCCACTTAAGGCTCTCTGGGATCTCGAGGTCAAACGGCCCTCAGGAAGGAGCATGGACTGCGGAGGCCCCGGAAATATCTCTGGGCTGTCATCAACCACAGCACCCCAGCAGCAGAGAAACTTGCCCTGGGCACAGCCCAGTGCCATCACTTGGCAAAAAGTGGCTGGTGCCTCTTTGTTCTCAAAGACAGTCACAGGACAGGAAATACGTGAGCTCTTCCTTCTGGCCAGGCCTTTAAAAAACCTGTCCCCTCGGGCCTCCCACCTACTCAGGCCCTCAGCTGCACAGCGCTGGCATTCGAAAAACACGTTCGCACCTTCCAGCTCATGGGAACACCCTAGTCGCCCCAGGAGCACAAATTATTATACCCAGTTTTCAGAAGAGGAAACTGAGGCTCCAAGGAGATTTCTTTGAGTTAAGTAGCTTGCTCAAGTTGTCACTTGGGGTGGAAGCAGAGTTGGAACTTGAACTAAGATCTTTCCACACCACGTTCTTTCCTTTATGTGGCCCCAGAAAGCCCGTTCAGCAAGACTGAGGACCCATCTGATGACTCATGATACTAACAAACAGGTATCGAGTACTTAACTAAGTTGCAGGATTATTATCCCAAATAAATAATCTTATTTAATTCTCACGCCTGCCCATCTGTTTTATGGATGCGGAAACAAGCTCAGAGAGGGCAGCGATTTGCTCTGGGTCACAAAGCTAGGTAGTAAACATGCTGGAACCCAAAATGATTAGATTCAGATAAGCAGGGGGAGAGGAGAGAGTAGGCCAGGAGAGGGAGGTGGCAGGAGCAAAGGCAGCAGTGTCTGGGGCCCTCAGGACAATGGTCACCTGATCTGGCTGGAAGTCTGTGCCCAGGAGCTGGGGCTGTCAAGCCAGGCCACTGGAGGTGGGTTTCCAGTGTCAGCTGAGGGGTGGAGCAGGGGCATAAGGGTGGTGGAGAGTGGAGGTCCCAGAGCAGGGGAGTGACAGGAGCTAACTGGGATTCTCAGGTGACCCATTAGGAAGCCTGAGCTGGAGGGGGCACAGGCAGGAAGCTGCTAGAATCCGTGGGCTAGGTCCCTGGGGGGCACCTGCCCCTCCAATCTGGACAGAAGGGCCTTGGCCCTGGCAGAGGAGCCAGAGTGACTTCCCAGGCCCTACAGACAAAGAAACGGGCCTCGCTAAGTAGGTCACTGTTCTCGGAGCTCCTCCTGGGCCTCTGTCCTTGGCAGGACGTTCAGGGCGCAAGTCCTGCTCCCTCAGCCCCTCTCCCACGGGCAGCTCTCGTGGGGCAATGGTTCTCAGCCAGGGGGATGTGCCTCCCAGGGGACACTGGGCAATGCCTGGAGACATCTGTGGTTGTCACAACCTGGGGGAGGTGGCATCTACTTGGGGAGAGACTACGAATGCTGCTAAACATCCCCACACACAGGACAGCCCCCTACAGTGAGGAATTATCCAGCCCCAAGCATCAACAGTGCTGAGGTTGAAAAACCCAGCTCTGGGGCGACCAGCAGGTTCCCACGTGCATTTGCTCTCCTGTGAGGGAGGCGAGAGGAGGACACTGGCATCCCTAGTTTACAGAGTTGGAAACTGAGGCTCAGAGGAGGAAGTGACTTGTCCAAGAATGTGCGGCAAGTTCCTGCATTCAAAAAGTATTTAGTGAGCACCTACTTTATGGCACTATTTAGTTGCAGAACTGAGACTAGGACTCATTCAGTTCTGTATTCATTCATCAACCAACTTACTGTGCTGGCTGCTGGGGATATCTAGTGATGAATCAGACCCAGCCCCTGACCCCTCAGAGCTTATGGTCTAATGAGAGAGAGAGCCACACAGACATTGACAAAACAGTGAGACCAGGAAAGGCCTACCTGGAGCAATCCAGGAAGGCTCCCCAGAGGAGGTGTTTATAAACTAAGATGCAAAGAAGAGTAGAAGTTAGTCATCAAAGATTGAGGTTTGTGTAGAGGGTTCTAGACAAAGGGAACAGCATGCATAAAAGTGTGGAGGAGGGAGAACATGGCTCATTTAAGACCTGAAGATGGTTCAGCGTGGCTGGGTGTGATGTGGAGGGGAGGATGAGAGAATGGCAGGCCCAGATCTCGGAGGGCCTTGACTGTCAGGCTGACGTGCCTGGATTGCCTCTTTGAGCTGTGACAGGGATGCAGCAGGTGGCAGCGGAGACAGAGCTCCTGAGACCATGGGCCTGAGGGGCTTCCCCGGGTCAGCAGCTGGGGAGGGAACAGGACCCTTGGATGTGCTTCTTGCCTCCTTCATTCATTTGGACATGCCTGCTTCACCCACGTGTGGCCCTCACCCTGCTGGGTCCCAGTGTGGTGGTCCCTCCAAGGCTGGGAGCACACAGAGACCCCCCCCCCCCCCCAGGAGGGCAGCCCGGAACCCACCCGATCTGCTGGAAAATGTGCCCTTCCCCCAGCCACTGGCCCCTTTGTCAAGGAGGGCACAGATCCAGACTGAAGATACTAGGGGGTGTCCTTTCACTTCCGTGAAATTGGTGATGATGTGTCAAATGAGACCTTCGGTCGCCTTCGGGGGAGCCCCCTATCCGCCCTTTTGTCCAGCATTCATACTCAGTGCTTGTCCTCAGCCCCTGTCCATCCCCACCCGGAAGGCCCCGTGTGAACATCCTGGGATCCTCACGCCTCTGCCCTCCGTACCCCTAGGCAGTTTCTAACATGGGGGCTGTCTGGAGGCGCCTGCAGGCCACACTCTCCCCGAGTGGCAAAGCGCTCAGCTTTCAGCACTCAGTTCAAACATCATCTGTTCAGTGCTTCCTGGCCCCTCCCCTGCCCCTTCTAGAGCTTTCTGTTGCCCCTCTGAGCTCCCACTGGCACTAAGTCCCTCGTCATAGCCCTTCTCCTGCTGGACTGTCTGGGTCTGTTGACCCATCTGTCTCTCCTGATCCCTGAAGGTGCCTCGAGGGACTTTCAACGTTTGTAGATGGACAGGCTGAATCCAGATAGGAGGAAAGAACTCTGCCTGCTGTGTGACCTCGGGAAGTCAGTGAGCCTCTTGGAGCCTCGGTCTCCCCAGCAGCCTTCCTGGGTTGTGGGAGGCCAGAGAATGGCTGGTCAGCTTAGAAGGTAAGGGCGCAGGCTCTTGGGTCTGACAGATCTGGGTCTAGATCCTGGCTGTACCTTTTATAGGTTGTGACCCTGGACAAGCTCCTAGCAGCTGGGTGCCTCGGTTTCCTCATCTGAAAAAATGAGGATCACAATAGTGCCTACCTCTGAGGGAGCACTCCCCTCTCTATCCTTGTCGCACCTCTAAAGGACATTGTGCCTGACTCAGGAACACACAGGGTCCCCTGGCGCCAACAGGCTCCAATATGACGCTCTCGTGAGCTGTGTGATTTCGGGAAGGCACTGGTCTCCCATCTGGGGTCCCCCAACTCTACTCGACACCCACTAACTGGACTCAGTACCCTTCTCTCTCGGCAAACCTCCCACCGCCTCCTCTCGCCCATCCGCATCACCCCGATGACCTGGCTGCCCATCTTGCTGGGAGAGGTGATGCCATCAAAAGAGAATCTCACAAGCTCCCGCCTCTGCCCCCGCTGCTCCAGGGCCCATTAGTCTACCTTCCCTGGGCTCCCGGCACGGGCCGCGGAGCATCCCGCTCCAGCAACTCTCTCTCCTTCATCCTCAGTTCTCCCTTCTCCTACTGGATCTCTCTAGTCACCCCACCAATATGCTGTTATTTCTTCTGTCTTAAACAAACAGCCGCTGCCACACTCTCTCTCCGCCCCTTAAATAAGATTCCTGGAAAGCCTTGTCTCCACTCGCTGTCTCCACTTCCTCTCCTCCCGTTCCTCCTGGACGGCCTCAGTCAGGCTTTGCCGCCATCACTTCACCAAAGCAGCGCTTGTCAAGGGCTCCAAAGACCTCCATGTTGCCAGACCTGCAGGCCAGTTGGTTCCAGGCTCTGCCACACTTGGGTCAGCACTTTTGCCGCCATGAGCCCCGCTCTCCTCCTGGAAACACTTTCTCGGTTGGCTTCCAGGACATACCCAGGTTCCCCTCCCACTTCTCTGGCTGCTCCTTCTCGGTCTCCTTGGCTGGATCCCTCTCCTGTCCCTGACCTCTAGGAGTGCCCCGGCTCCAGATGGTAGAGTGGCCCTCTCTCCCCTCTGTCTACCCTCACTCCTAGGCGATCTCAGCCAAGCTCATTAAACACCGTCCACATGCAGATCAAGCCGGCCCCGACCTTCCTCCTGTACCACAGACCCGTAAGTCAAGCAGCCTTCTCCCCATCAGCACTCAATTGGCCTTGCAAACCTCATGTGCGTACAGCTCCATCCTTCCAGTCACCTCCGCCGAAATTGCAGCAGTCTTCCTTGTCCTCTTTCTCTCACACCTGAGAGCCAATTCATTAGCCAAGCCTGTTGGCCCTCCCTTCAAAATACATCCTAAATCCGATCACGTCTGACCGCCTGCACGGCCTCCGCTCTGCCCCGAGTCACCGTCCTCCCTCACCTGGACCCCTGCAGTTAGTCTCCCAACCGGCCTCCCAGCCTCCACCCTCGACCTTCTTCAGCCTATTCTCAACCCAGCAGCCATAGGGAGCCTTTAAAAAATTAGGCCAACTCACCTCACTTCACTGCCCCGAACCCTCCAATGGCTCCCATCTCATTCAGCATAAAATTTAAAGTTCTCACGCTGGCCCACAGGTCTTCACGGTCTGGCCACTGCCACCTCCCTGACCTTCTCACTTCCACTTTCCCTCTCACTCATTCCACTCCAGCCACACTAGCCTCCTTACTGCTCCTTGAACATGCCAGGCTTGCTCCTGCCTCAGGGCCTTTGCACTTGCTGTTCCCACGGGCAGGAAGGCTCTTTCCTCACAAACCTACATGGTTCACTCTCTTTCTTCCTTCAGGTCTTTACGCCCATGCCTCCTTCTCAGTGAGGTCTTCTAACTGGATCCGCTATCTAAAATCTCTATCCTACCTCAGCCTCCCCCAGCCCCCTTCCTTACCCTTTATCATCATCTCACAAACTATATATGTTGCTGATTTACTTTTGTTTTCTTTCTCTCTCACACCCCAGGATGTAAGATCCACGAGGGCAGGGCTTTTGCCTGTTTTGCTCACTGCTGTAGCTCCAGCGCCTAGAACAGCATCTGGGGTGAGGCAGGTGCTTGATGTACACTGTACAAATAGAACGAATGAGTGAGCGGCCCAGGGCCTCAGTCCCTTCATCTAGAGGGTGGGTGTCCTAATGGAACCTCCCTCATGGGGCTGTGTGAGGAGTCACCGAGCTGAGTGCCTGTGCAGGTGCCCAGCAGGGCCCTCTTCTCAATCCTCTGCTCCGCCCCCTGCTGTGTGTGGAGCAGAGGGCTGGGCTTGGCTGGGACGGCCTCATCTGGCTCCGACCCTTGATAACCTCGCCTCTCCCGGGGCCCTTGGTGAGCGGTGAGCAGGCCTTACCTGGGTGGATGTCCTGGAACAGGGACTTCCAGATGGTGTACTGCAGGGGGCCTGTGTACTTGGAGGTCGGGAAGTCTTCGTACGTCAGATTCGTCTCGTGGATTTTCCCTTTGAGCCTGGAGGGAGAGCAGGAGAGCAGGCTGCACTGGGGGCTGGGTTCCTGTCCCCGTGCTGGGTGCCCCACAGCCACCTTCAGGGCAGCTGACATGGGGCGAGGTCATGCCTGTGAAGTCTGCCAGACCAGATTCAAGCGCCTGCTTGTGCCACTTCCTTCCTCTCTAGCTCTTACCTCAGTTTCCTCATCTTTAAAATGGGTCCTATGACAGCACCTGCCTTCTAGGCTTGTTGAGAGGATTACACGGCATAACGTATGAAAAATGCTTAGCACGGCACTTGGCTCATGGTCAACACCGAATACATGATGTTAGCTGTCAGCACGGACCATTAACCAACCAATAATTAAGTGTTATTATTATTAAAGGTGGCTATGGGACCAGAGAGACCTCTGCTTGAATCCTGGCTCCCCCATATCCTAGATGAGGGGCCTTGGTCAACTGATCTAGTTTCTCTGTGCCTCAGTTTCTACATGTGTGAAATGAGGATGACAGTGGCAACTACCTCTGAGGGGGCTAGTCGGGTTATAATAATATAAATATTATTATTTATCATATATCATATCAACGTTATCATAAATAATATAAAATATAAGAACAATGCCATATAATATAAGTCATATAAGACAAGTAATATACTATGTGATTACAAATATTATATGTATACATATAGCCTTTGGCTCAGGCTCTAGCACACAGCAGACGTCCTGTAAGTGTCTGATGAAGATCTGAATGAATGACTTCTCTGCTCCATTCCCTAGCCCGCAGGGAGGGATCCCCGTCTGGGAAGGCTCCAGCAGGCAGGCCCTTACCGCTCGGACAGGGAGGCCACCCCGGCCAGGAAGGTGTGTCGGTCGGTTTCCGCCAGCCGCTCCTGCAGGATCTGGGCCCCCTCCTGCACCTTGCGTAGCTGCTGGCTGTAGCGCTGGACCTTCTGCTCGATGTCGGTCAGCGTGCGGGCCGTGTCCGCCTCCAGCTCCTCCAGCATGGCCTTCTGCCGCTCGCGCAGCAGCCGGTGCAGCCGCTCGAAGGCCTCGCCGATGGTGGTCCGCAGGCTTTTAGTGGAAGACTGTGGGGACAGTCACCAGGGGTTATGGCGGGGAGAGCAGATTGGGTGCTCCCCGCGTAAGAGGAAGAAAGCAAGAGCCTTGGCATGCCGAGAGGAGAGGGCGGAAAAGGATGCGCTTGGTGGGGGTGATGGCACGCACGTGCAAAAACCTGGTGGCATGAAAGGACTGGCATGGCCAGGGACAGAAAATAATCCTATGTGCCCGTTAGGAAACTAATGAAATGGTTTGGGTGAGACAATGAGGCTTGAGCTAGAGGAGCAGCAGAGGGCCACAGATTGAAAGACACTTAGGGGGGAGTGTCTGTGGCCCTGGTGTGACTGGCTTAGGGGTGCAGGCGAGCAAGGTGTGAGGATGGTGCCCAGACTTCCGGAACAAGAGCTGGAGGTTAAAGCCATTATCAGAGGAGGCAAGCACGGACCCGCATGGTTCTCTCTGCCCCTGGGGGGACTGCCAGGCCCGGGAGGGGGTTGAATGGTGAAGGGCACAGGCTTCGGTGTCCAACAGCCTGGGGGAGAACCCCAGCTCCGGGTCTCTAGCTGTGGCCGCCCCGGCCGCCTCATACCTCCGAACCTTAGTTTTCCTATCTGTGAACAAGGTAACCCAACGACACTGCAGGGTCACGGTGGAGATGAAACGAGGGAATGTTCACAAAATGCACGGCATCGTTCGAGGTGCAGAGAAAGAGCCTGGAGGTTAAAACGTCATCGATTCTAACAGGCACACCCTAGAAGTCTTGCCGGAGAGATGGCTTCTGAGCTGGGGCCTGAAGGATGGGCAGGATGTCAGTTGGGGGGTGGGGGGTAAGAAGAGACAGAGGGAGCAGCACGAGTCGGGGACAACACAGGCTACAGAGGAGGCCAGGCGGCAGCAGTGTGTGGGGCCTGCCTCTGCAATTTGACTTTGTGGCATCCTGGCTGGGAGTTCACCAAGTCAGGGACCCTGCTGTGTTCAGTGCCCAAGGCTCTGTGGGAGGCCCGACAAAGGCTCACTTAGGGCCTGTTCCCCGCACCCCCTCCAGCCCCGCGGCTGCCGGCCTGCAGGAAGAATTGTTGGCAGGGGGCCAGCCTCCCCGCGCATGCCCACCCAGAGCGCCAGGCAGACAAAGGGGGTGGGGGAGAGGCTGGGGATGAACAGCCGGGCTGCCTGTGGCCTCCCTGAGCCCCTCGCCAGGGGAGGGCGAGGCTTCTGCAGCGGCAGGTCACAGGTGGGCAAGACGGGGCCCACCCTCCCTGCACCATCTGCCACTGTCCTCCAAAGGCCCCCAGACCCCAGGGCCACCCCTTCTGGCTCCTCCTCGACCACTCTGCAGCAGCGTTTGGCCCTCGGGCCCCTCTCTACTAATGGAAAATTCTAGTTTGCCTCCCACCTCGGTGGCTGCTCCCTTTCTGCTGCCCTTGATCCTCAGGGCTGGGCCAGGCTGCCTCCTTCCATCCTCCCCTGCCTGGCCTCCCTCATCTTAGACTCCCTCAGCTTTGAGGATGGCTCCCAGTCCATCTCGACTGCCTTGCTGCTCTCCCAAGCACCACACTCATCTTTCCAACTGCCTCCTGCCCACTTCCCGCTGGGGTCCCACAGGCCCTCCAGCTCACTGAGTCCACAAGTCAACTCCGTGTCTTGGCCAACAAACTCACCACCAGAGTGACCCTTCTAACACACAAATGGGGTCTTAGCTAATCCCACACTTAGAAACCTTTTCTTGGCTCTTAACAACTAGTAAAATGCCTAATTCTTTAGCTTGGCATTCAAAGTCCTCAATCTGATCCCAACTGCCTCCCTAGTGCCACTGTATTGTAATTCTACCTGCCTAGAATGACACCCCCCACCCCGCCCCAAACAAATCCTTTGTTCAACTGGCAAACTCCTACTCATCCTGCAAGACCCAGATTGAAAGCCACCTCCTCTGTGACACCTTCCCTAACTTTTTCAGGCAGTTAGATAATTAAATGTTCCCAGAGCACTTTGTAAATACTCTTGATACACTGTCCCACATTTTCTGTGGCTCCCCGCCATCCTGGGTAGGATTGGTACCTTTCTCAGCCCTGCGCCCTCCGTGCCCATCCCAAGGCCTGGCACTAGGCAGGCAGAAAGGAACTGCTTGATAAGAGGAGGAGGGAGGGGTCTTGCCAGAGACTGCTCTGCAGAGGTGGCTGCAGACTCCATCTTCTTTCTAGGGAGGGGGCCCAGGGTCTCCAGGACCAAGCATGTCCCCGATGGGTCCTCTCAACCTACCTGGCTTGCTGACCACAAAGCTATAGATCTTGCTGAGGATGTCCCAGCATGAGGCTGGAATGTGCACTAGGCTCTGACAGGAGTGGACGGTAAGTTCCCAATTAACCGCTTACAAGCTGTGGGGCCTCAGGCTGGTCCCTCAACCTCTCTGGACTTCAGTTTCCTTGCTGATAAAATGGAGACACATGGAGGCAGTTCCTACCTCAAAAGGCGTTTTTCCCCTACTCATTTGTTCTACAACTATTTATCACATGGAAGGCAGGGTGCGAAGTTCTGAGGAGTCCTGCCATCAGGGAGATGACGTTCCACGGGGACCAGCAAAACACAATTCCCAGCCCAGAGAAAGGGCAGCTCAGCTGGTGTGGCTCGTTGACTCTAGTTCTTTCTGGGGCAGAGTCACCCCCATCCCACTCTCACTCCCTTAGGTACCGTGCCTGGGAAAGCAGCCCCCGCCGCAGCCCGCCACATCCCTGGGAACATGCTGGGGCCATTTCAAGAAATCACCCTGCCAAGAACGCGTCACTCCAGGGCCAACCAAGGAAAACATCAGCCCAGGGAGGGAGAGGAGACAGGCCGGGCCAGCAGAGGGGCAGGCGCCTCCGCAGGAAAGCCGGGTGAGGCACCAGGTGAAATACGACCTGCAAGGCCTCCATAGGCATTTCTTGTATAAACACCCCAGTCCAGACAGGAAGCAGGGCTCGGCGAACCGGGGGAGGGGGAGGTGGCCCCACAGGACCCCTCAGAGGTAGACAGATGGACAGGAAAGCAGGGGAGGAAGAGGTCAGCGGAGAAAAACAATGGAGGGTGGAGAGAAGAGAATGGGGAGGAGGAAACAGGCCATAACAATCCCCCTCATCCAGACAGAGGCTTCCACTTGCTTCTCTTCACCTGAGAGGTGCAGAGTCAGCAGGCAGATGGGGAAACTGAGGCTGTGGGAAGCAAGTAGGCCAGAGTCCTGTGACTGTTTCTCGTCTGTTGCCCGCTGAGGGTCCTGCCCAGAGGCACTCCAGAATGTTCTCTGCAGAAATGTTTGTCATGACCTCCCTGAGACCCTCACATGGGTTGGTGGCCGAGCTGGGGCACAGATCTGGATCTTCACTGGCCTCTCAGGCTCCAGGGTGACCTCCAGAGACTCAGAGCATCCCTGAGGCTCTGCTCCAGCTGCTGCTGGCTGAGCCCCCTGCTAAGGAACGGAGCCAGACAGAAATCCCCCGAGGGCTGAGCAGCGGGCCTGGGTCCTCAGTTCTTGGTCCCAGAAAGATGGGGCAGAAATCAAGGCAAGCCTTGCCCAGTTAGTGAAATACCTGTTGGGAGTACTTACAGGGAGCCCCTTGGAAGTGCGCTAGGAACCACAACTTCGGGCCTGGAGGGAGCTCAGCAGAGTCCCCACTGTACAGATGGGAAGACTGGGGGCCCGGAAAAGTACGCGATTTACCCAACGTCACCCTGCGAGGTGGCAGCTGGGTCAGAACCTGAGGTTTCCACTCGGGTCAAGGAAGAAGCCTCTTCTTTTCAAACCACGGTAGCCAGAGCCGGCAGGGTTTGGCCTGACTTTCAGAGTCCATATCCCCATGGCCTGAGCTTAAGGGAGAGATGAGACCAGGGCGTCGAGGCAACATGCTCAGGGTTGGCTCCTCGGGCAATGAGTGTGTTTAATAAGGAGAGAGGAAAGAGAGTCTTGGTACATGCTCCCAGCCCTGCAGGACGCCAGGGTTCTGGAGAGTCCCTGGTCCCACCTTAACTTCCACCCAGGGCAGGTAGGGAGAAAGCGCCCCACCCTCGACTCCATCCCCGCACGCCCCGCCCCCTCCTTCCCAGCTGGCTCCGCCCCTGCGCCCCGGCCAGGCTCACCTTGGTCTCCGCCAGCTGTCGCTTGAGCAGCTGCAGCGCCTCCGTGTGCTCCCGCTCGCTGTCCTGAAGGGCCTGAAGCTGCTCCTTCAGCTCCCTCTGGAACAACACAAGGCCGGGATAGGGGCGTTCCACGGCAATGCGCAGCCCAGGCCTGGCGGCTGCCAGTGCTCCCCCTAGCCTGGCCCAACACCCTCCTCCGGTCACAGGTCAAGCACCACCAAGTCCTGGGGAGTCTGTCTCCTGAGTACCTCCAGCTCTGTTCCCATCTTTTCATCTTTCATCTGGAATTCTGCATACTAGGTGCTTCTGGTCTCCCTGCCTCCAGTCCACCTCCCCCTGCATTCTGCCACACCCCGATCTGCTCGCCGGGACTCCTTGCTTGGAATCCTCGGATGGGAAGCAAGGCTGTACCACCGCCCATCGCTCCGACTAACCGCCCACATTCTCTGAGCGCTTCCAGCGGGCTAGGCACTGTTCTCAGCCCTTTGCTGGCATTGGTTCATTTGAGCCTCTCAACAATCCAGAGGTAGATACTTTTATTTTCCCCATTTTCCGAGGGAGAAACCAGTGCAGAGAGGTCAAGCAACTGGTCCCAAAGCATACAGCGAAACATGTCAGGGTAAAGCCAGAACTGGAACTCAGGCGGTCTGGTCTGGAGACCGTGACCTTGACACCAGACGACACCGATGATGAACAACAACAATCCACGACAGACAACATACAATTTCCAATAAGGACAGGACAGCATGACTGATTTTTCCTTTGCTTCAGGTTCCCACATGCCTCAGCATGCCACTGCTGGTGATCTTGTCTTTATTTAAAATTTTGATATTTTGTTCATCATGGGATTTTTTGCGTGCATTTTGATTTTTTTAAAATTGCATTAAGGATTATTCATCTCAGTGACTGAGTTTTGGGGTGCCTGCTTCCATGTCACGCCTGAAGCAGGTGTCTCACTCCCTCACCCTAGTCCACCCCTGTCCCCATCCTTCTCTCACTGCCCTCCAGCCAAAGTGGCCTTCTCTCTCTTTCTCCATCATCTTTGCTTACTATCCCTTACTTATGCTGCAAATATTTATTGAGCAACTATTATGTAACGGGCACTGTTGAGGCACTGGGAGTACAGTGGAGAACCGGGCAGACATAGTCCTGCAAGGATCTTCCAGTCTAGTGAGAGGACAGGTAATAAACAAGGACAACAAGAAAAGAACCAGATAGTTACCGATTGTAGTCTGTGCTCTAGAGAAAATAAAGCAGTGTGGGATGGACAGTGAATTCGGGTAGGGGTGGTCCAGGAAGGCTTCTCTGAGGAGGTAACACCTGAGATGACAGCTGAAGGAGGAGGAGTCAGCCATGAAAATAAGAGTTAGATAGAAAAAGAGGAAGAGCTTGTTTTGTGAAGAGTAGAGAGCTTGCACAGACAGAATGCCTGGAGCCGGATGGCAACCAGAAAGATGGACGTCACAATCTAAAACCGGGGAAGTCAAAGGAAAGAGCGTGGGTCCCTGATCACTGGGGGTAGCCGCACCATCACTGGATTCTGTTATGTGCTAGGAGGCTTGCCCTCGGTGGGGGGGGGAGTCGGGGGAAGCCCCAATTTATAGTGTTTGCCAATTTCCGTGGTATAAATGCTCCCACCAAAGACGCTTTCAAGCTATGAATGTGAGGTCACTGGACACGGAGCTGGGAAGAGATTTACACAATCAGCTCTCAGAAGCCGGTGCATGCTGGGTCCAGCACACCACTCCCTGGGGTCCCTGCCTTTAGACTTGTTTTACATGAGAGAGAAATACACCCCCATCGAATTTCAGCTACTTTAGTCAGGTCTCTATTAGTAACAGGTGAAAGTCATTCCTAACGGATTCATCTGCATCTGGGTCGTTGGAGCAGACGACTCTCGGACTCTCGTTCACCAAGGAGTGCAGGATGACTGCTCCTTAGCCCGCCCTGATGGCCGGGGGTCTGTCCAGCTTGGGACACAGTCCGGCTGAGACGCCGACGTTTGAGGAGACGGGTCAAGTGCTACAGTCCTCCCCCTCGGTGGTCCTCACGGGTCCACAAGAGACCCTGCCACCCAGGCAGCTCTTCAGAGTCTCTGAGAAAACTGCCCTGGAGGCCACGTTCCTCACATTGCACAGGGCACCCGAGGGGACTCGGACAAATTCCTCCCTGCTTTCAGGGCCAGGGAGCAAGGAGAGCAGGCCTGCCCCTTCTCCTGGGGCCTGCGAGCAATGGAACACGGATTCGCCCATTCCGCAAACATGTGCTGAGGCCTCCTTGGGCCCCGCCTGGTGCTGTGTCAGCGACAGTGATGAGGGGCAACGCATCCCAATGCACGATGCCTCAGGAGGGGTGCACACAAGTTGGGGGGAAGAGAGATACAGACATTAACATCGCAGTAAGTGCTGGAATAGTGTTGGGGTCCCAAACCTGCTCTCCTCCCATGTTCCCCATCTCCGTGAAGGGCACCCCCACCTCCCACAGCCCTCCAAGCCAGAAATCTGGGAGTGACCCTTGACACTGCCCCAACCAGTCCAATCTGGCATCAAGTGTGCCCCGGAATGTGTTCCCTCCTTTCTACACCCACTGCCCCCAGCTTGGTTTTCTTCACTTCTTTTCTGGACTGTGGGCCCAGGCCTCTCTCTGCCCCTCACTCTCTAAGTGCCCCACAGAGCAGCTGGAGTGATTGTTTGAAGGGCTGTCCATGCTCCCCCGACCCCATGCTTCTCTGCAGGATTTCACGTTGTCTAGGAAGAAAGGCACAAAGCCTGAGCGTGGCATTCAAGGCCCTTCATCACTAGCCCCAAACTTCTCCAGCATTCTCTCTTGATCCAGACCTGCACTGTCCCATAGGGTAGCCACTAGCCACTGCTTTTAAATTAAAATGAATTAAAATTAAATAAAATGGAAAATTCAATTCCTCAGTTGCACCAACTGCACATTTCAGGTGCTCAATAGCCACATGTGACGAGTGGCTACTGTCTCAGACACGCAGGTGCAGAGCACTTCCATTCTCCCAGAAGGTTCTATCGGACACTGCTGCTCTAGACCCACTAAGCGTCTTGCCGCGCTCTCCTCCATGCCTTTGCACATGCTAGTCCCTCTGTCTCGAACGCTCACCCACATGTTTTTCTCCACTTAGACTCAAACTCGTCTCTTAAGAGTTGGATCAGACGTCGCCTCCACAAGAATCCACACCCCAAACTGTCCATGCTGCCCTCAGACCCCTCCGTGTGCACAGCCCTTCATGTGAACGATTCTGGCACACTCTGCCTTTTAACTGCGAGGGTACCTGTCCATCTCCCCCACGAGGCTGCCGGCTCTCAGGGCAGGCATGGTGTCTGATAGACTTTCACACTCTCGGTCCCTAGGAAGGGCCAGGCACGGAGTGACCTCCGTGAGAGTTTGCAACATAAATTTTCCCAGAGAAGAGGCTGGGCTGCTCAGAGGGTGGGCAGAGAGGGCCCCAGGCAGGCAGCTCCCCCCAGGAGGGCTACACAGCCTGGGTGAACAGCTAACTTAGGACCAAACCCTAGAACCCACAGGGCAGGACTAGGAAGCAGCCTGAGCTCTGTCCCGTCCCACCCCCACCACCCCCTGCCCCACTCCAACACTACCCGCCAGGGTCTCCTTCCAGGCCTAGGATCAGACAGACCTGGGTTAGGAGGTTGGCTCTGCCACCCACTAGCTGTGTGACCTTGGGCATGTACGCTAACCTCTCTGTGCCCCAGTCCCTCATCCATGAAATGGGGATAATACCTCCTAAGGTTGGGAGGGTGAAATGAGATAATGGTAAGAAGTGTTTAGCCTCCTAGGGCAGAGCTTGGCATACAGTGGGTGCCCGGGAGACGGAGTGGCCACCATGCCCCACGTGAGGCTTCTTGGTCACTTCTCCATGTCCTCACCCCATGCTGTGTCCAGGGCCCTCCCTGCCTCCTCAGATGGCCAGAGCAGGAAAGGGCCCCAGGGGCCACCTGGTCCAAACCCCTGGATTTCTAGAACAGGAAACTGAGGTCCAAGAAAAGGGACCAACTGGCCCATGGCCACAGAGCTTGACAGAGGAGAACCAACCAGAAAACTTACTTCCAGCAGAAGTCAGATAGGAAACAAGGAGTGTTGATAAACTCCTAATGATAGAGTTAACCAGAAGGAAGGACAGTGGCGATGCCAGAGACTCGGAACCAGAAGGGCTGGAGGTCACAAGGTGTGGGTCTGAACTTCACAGGTGTCATGTCACCTAATTCTCACAACCACCCCAGGAGGTTAGTGTCTTTATCATCTCCATCTCACAGAGGGGGAAATGGAGCTCAGAGAGGTCAGGCAGCTTGCTTAAGGTCACACAGCTCATAAAAGGCCGAAGCGGGGCTCTGAGTGGCTCCGAAAGCCATGACGGAAGCCGCTCAGCCACTCTGCCTCCTGCTCAATTCAACATGGTGATCATGTCTGGGCACCACGGTCCGCTTCGTGCCAGCCGCTCCGGGGGCTGTTGACACAGTCCTTGCCCTTGAGGATCTCAGTTAGGCGGGGAGGCAGAAATGGGAACAGGCAGACCACGAGGAGAACAGGATAAACCTGGAGGGACCACCTAGGATCCAATCCACCCCTGGTGGTGTTCGTGACACTCTCCCTCCACCTCAGTTTCCACATCTGCGCTGATGGCGCCCCAGCTCCGTGGTCTCGGGAGGCACAGGACGTGCTCGGTCACTCTTGGCTGTGGTCATTATCGTGCTAATAATTACAATTACGTGTGAAATAGGGACTCAGAACTGGGGAGCTTCCAGGAGAGAGCTGACTTCTGATGGAGGATCAGGGGGGATGGGTGGGTGGGGTCCTTCACGTCTCGGGGTGGGGCCAGAGCCTTCCAGGTGGAGAGAACTAGTCAGGCAGGGGCACACCTGGTGTGCGCAGAAGTAGGGGGCCGCTGGGGTTGGCTGGAGCCAGGTATGTGGCAGGTGGGTGGAGTCACAGGCTGGAAAGGCCAGTGGGGCTAGCTGGGGTGAGGGTGGGGCGTGGGGGAGGCCTTGAAGGTCAGCCTGGAGGGTCCCATTAGAGCTGGGGCAGGGCAGGAAGAGGGGACAGGAGGGACACACCTCAGA